TATATTTTTTTGTCAGAAAGTCTGACGATTCTAGTTTAAAAGGCCAATTGAAGTGCAAGGCCCAAAAGGGCAGGTGTAATCCCACCCAGGTCAGGAAGATTAACTTTGTCGTATTTGTCGTGAATGGGCTTTCCATTTTAGAATCGATGGATGGTGAGGATGAGACGAAGAAATCATACACTGATATGATAGCTACAACTTTCAACAATCCATTATTGTCATTCAAAGGTAGGTTTTACGACTTCTCTCACTCTCTGCAGCGGGGAGGGCAGTATGCAACACAGTGATTGAAACCTTAGTCCCTACACATTTTATTTTACTCAGGCATGCATGATAGAATCAAATATTTCTGTCTAGGTGATGCATCATATCATAGTCACCTTTCCTTGTAGCTTCATCTCATGGGAGATAGATCCGTGGAAGCTCGGGTTTTTCCCTAGTATTTTTTCTTCTTTTTCTGGGTTTGGATTGTTGATTGTTTTTGTCTTTCTATGTCTTAGATGACAAGCCTGTCATTGTAGTCACACATGGAGATTTACTGTCACTTTGTGATCGTGTGAGAGTACGTGTCCATTTGGGTATGTTGTTGGGTGTTCCTCCAACAACACAAATTTTTGACATACCAGGTAACACCTATAAATTCATATTGATTCTGTGTTCAAAATAATATTTATTAAGATATTATTTTGACTCTTTACTAGTTAAGCTTTATGGTGGTGGGTACAGAAAGCAATGATTCAGCAGTTGCATTGACAATAGTCGACATGTTACGCTATAGCCTTGAGCATGCAGACAGAAACCTTCCTGGCAATGATCGGTTAACGGAGAAGGTTTGGTTGGCTTTCCTAGACTTTCCCAGACAAAATAATAAAATACATTCTTCGGAAGCTGAATTTTTCTAGTGTGTTTTATGGTTCTTCCTAATTTTCAGACTTTGAACTTGGACCTATATTCCAGCGATATGAAACTTCGGGGATACTTTGTCAATTTGTTATTTGCATGGCTTCTTTAGATGAACTTGGGTCCTTCAAATCTTCTTGATATTGTGGTATTCCTCACATTTGATGTGATTATTTGCATTGAATTTAATTGTCTAATTAGTATGAGAATCTTTCCGTTTATAGTTATTTATAACCCTGTAAAAATATGGTCTTTCTTCTCGTTATTTTTATACAATACTTTTACAAAACTTAGTGATTTTTTAGTTGTTTCTTTCTCAGTTGTTTAGGTAAAATTAGATATGTAAACACTCAGAACTCATCGTTTATGATCCTATCTTGGTTAATGAAATTATCAAGACGTACTGTGAAAAACAGTTGAGGACTCATGTATGGAGAGAAAAATAGTCCAATTTGTTTGCGATCTTTACTGACATTAAAAGTGACTTGCAGATGTATAAATCCTCCTTACCAGCATATTTACTCCTTCTGTTGGTTCTGGGGATTTCCATTGTCTACAAATTTCATGGAACCGATTTACCAAAGATTCATTTGAATGAAGCAACTGGATTGATTCCTAACATAAACAAAACAAAGGAAACTGGAGGAGCTGAAAAACATTCTCATTCATC